AAAAAAAAAAAAATTATGAAAGTATTATTTATCAAAATCTATTTTCTGTAGATCCTGCATTTATAATCATCCATGTGAAAAAATATGTTTTATGGATTGCGGAAAGTGTACTGTGTCAATGATCAGAGAATTACCATGTGGTCACCAAATGACATTACAATGTTATGTAGATGTTCTTACTTTTCCATGTGAAGAAATGGTTGGATTTATTACTATTATTTTTCAAAGTGTGTTATTTTAATTACATTTTTGTTATAATTTATATGAATATTTAGGTAGAAACAGTACTAKAAAAATGTGGTCATAGAATTACAAAAAAATGTCATGACCAAAAACCTAGTTGTTCATATAAATGTATGGATCGATTAGATTGTGGTCATGCTTGTGAAAAAAATTGTCATAAGGATGATGATCCTGATCATGAAGAGGTAGTTTTTATTTTTAAAAAGTGAAGTTTATTATAATATAAGTATTGAAATAATTTAATAATTTAATAATTTAATAAATTTTACACAGTATAAATGCTTAAAGCCTTGTGAAAATATTAACAAAAAGTGCTCTTTAAATCATAAATGTCAAAAGATGTGTTATGAAGATTGTTTGTTATGTACTGTTAAAGTAAAGAAAGTTTTGCTTTGTGAACACATTAAGAATGATGTTCCTTGTGGATTAAATATTGATGATATTAAATGTATTCTACCATGTGATCGTACATTAAAGTGTGACCATAAGTGTCAATCTAAATGCTATGAAAAATGTAAGCCTTGTGAAAATCAAGTAAGTTAGGTATTYAAATGAGTTTATCTATTTATCTGTTTTATTGATTTAAATAAATTTTCAGGTATCGAAAGTTATTCCCGACTGTGGCCATTCAATCACAACGAAATGTAAAACTGTACCAGTACGTAAGCTTTGTACTAAGAAATGTGAAAGAATTTTAGAATGTGGGCATTTRTGTAAAAAGTTATGTGCAGATGAGTGTATAAATACAGACTGTGAAGAAATAATTTTGCAAAAAAGTAGTAAACTTGCTTGTGGTCATAACAGTTTTTGGGTTTTATGTCGCGATAAATATAAAGGTATTATTTGTTATTAAAGTATTACTATACTTTTTGTTTTAAATTGATTATTGTAATGAAATTTATGATTCATGAAGTACTTATATATAATTTTGTGTATTATGTGCTTATTATRGTACTTTTCAGTAATTGCAGCCACCAACATAGGATAGACTTCCCGTATAGTACTAGTTGTGTAGACATTAGCTCATTCAATTTAAATCAAACACATCCCTTAATTTTCTAAATAAAACAAACTTGGATTGCAAATTCAAGCAAATCGATCTTACTGGATCTATAACATGTATTTTTTTGGAATTGGCTATAATTAAAAGTTTCCTAATTACTGTTTGATTTTTGTTTATTAATATTAATTTGCCATGATGAACTTATTATATTAGAGGCCAAATTTGTATGACCCATGTAAAATAGTTTTTTGGAACCCTTATGTTTCAAACATCAACTCAACCTCAATATTTCAATTATTTTTTAAAACCAATATTCAAAAAAATGTTTTAAAGATCATTGTTATTTTATTTATTTAAATATACTAAAATAACAAATATTTATCATTTAGTAATTATTTTTTTCCAAATATAATAAAAAATAATTTTGTTAATATGTACATATATCTGACGGAACCCTTTAGCTTGTCTAATGGAACACTCRGGTTTTCTCAAAACACACTTTGGGAATCGCTGTAATATAGTTCTGTTTATAAGAATATTGAAAACAATTTTGATTTTGATTTGATTAGGTAGGTAATTTTGTTAATTTTATAATTTTTTTTTTTGTAATTATTATTTAGTAAGCAGTGGCGTAAATCGGAATCGCATTCACTATGAGTCAATATACCACAATTGTAAAGCAATAAAATTAGACACATAGCTATAAATAAAAAAATATTAAGAAGTTGGGTGGTTGTATTTTTGACATAAATAGTATAAATAGAGATTCTTTAATTTTGTTATAAATATTATGTAAAATGCACTTTGATATTTAAGAAAAAAAAAAATTGAAAATTTCATTTAATTATAATAAATTTAACACCAATGAATAAAGTCATCAAATAAAGTCCTCACAATTTAACATGTCTTTGTTAATTTCTCAAAAACTTTTTTAACTAACCTATAATATCGAGAACTCCTGTAAACAGTTAAAATATGCATTTAAGTTTTAATTAAACAATTTTACTATGGGCCCCATAAATAATAGATAGATATAATTATTAAACTAAAATAATATATTGTAGAGTTCAGAATGGATGACCAATATCTACTTGATAAGTGTCGTGAACCATGTTTACGGAAATTAAATTGTAAAGATATTTGTATGGGAACATGTGGAGAATGTAAACAGGGACGTTTACATGTACCTTGTAGTGAGATTTGCAACAAGATAAACCCATGCAATCATACGTATGTGTACATTTTGACTAAAATCATGGATTAGTTTAATCTTAATMATTTATAATTTATTTTTATAGATGTAAATTTCCGTGCAAGGAACGGTGTCCACCGTGTAATCAGAAATGCATCTATTCTTGTGTGCATTCTAGATGCAATAAGGTGTGTGGTAAACCATGTGTACCGTGCAAGGTAATAACTGATAAAAATAAATATACATGTACATTTTTTTTAAACGTATTCTTCTTTCAATAGACTGTGATGAATTTAATGTTAATAATGACTTATGTTGTGTTTATGAATGAGTCAACTGAATTACATCCCCCAGACCTACTGAATATATTTTAACTTTTTAATCATGATTTATATTTTTTGATTTTATAAACAGGAAAAATGTGAGTGGAAGTGTAAACATTTGAAATGCACCAGAAAATGTTATGAAATATGTAATCGAAGACCTTGTTATGAGTCTTGCACATTAAAGTTGAAATGTGGGCATGAGTGTATTGGTTATTGTGGTGAACCATGTCCTCCTTTATGTCGCATTTGTCAAGAAGACGAAGTTACAACAATAGTTTTTGGCAATGAAGATGAACCAAACGCCAGGTAAATTAGAAAGAATGTTTATTTTTTTATAGTATCTTGGAAGTTATTATTCATACTATTACTTATTACTTATTAGTGTATTTTAAATTAAAATTTAATTAGTATTATTAAATATTTGTACAAGCAGATATTTTTCTTTGGTTTAACAAACTAAGGGTAAAATATGTCATATAATTACATGATATTTTTATTAGAATAAATAATATAGATCATGTTATGACATAGGAACTTAAAACATTTATTTTGCGTGCTGTGATTTTTTTAAATATTAATTAATGTTGATGTAATATTTATACTATTTTTTTAGGTTTATTTATTTAGAAGATTGTGAACACAGTATAGAGTCAGATGCTTTAACAAAATGGATGAACCAAAACGATGAAGAAATATGTTTGAAACAGTGTCCGCTGTGTAAAACACCAATTTTAAAAACCCAACGTTTTATGAACCAAGTAAAAGTTATACTAGATGATGTATCAAAAATAAAAACAAAACAGTATGGAGAAATAGCTGAAATTCGTAGCAAAACAAAATCAGTTATTAAATCACTAAGATCCTTGGATACAAATTTTATTTCAAATTATGTTGGTAATAATAATCGTAGTATCAAACTATTATGGAATACATTTTACAAACCTTTATTAAGATCCTTGGGTAATAAACGTTCAAAGTTCACTTTACCTGCCAAGGACATTGAATCATTGAATTTTGTCATTGCTTTGTTTACAAAGATTTCAACATTTAAAAATAGAATTAAAGAAATCAAAGATGACCAAAAAAGACAAACTATTATTAATCACTTTGATTGGATTATTTCTGTTGCTTTCACTTATGCCCAGCAATTATCAAATCAGCAAAAATGTGATATAGGCATTGAAATGGCACGTGGTTCAAGAATTTTAAATTTGTATGAGATCATGTCTAATACAAAATATCAGACGGCAGTTACAATGCAAACTTCTGATACAAATGAAATTAAAAAAAAAGTAGAAAACATGGAGACATTATTATTGTCATGCAGCATTTACACACCAAGCAGGGACCAGGATATACAGAATTTAACAGAAGAAATCCAACAAAAAATTGACGATCTTCCTTTAATAACAGATGATGAAAGACGAATGATTCATGCTGCTATGTCCATCAGTTTTTCAGGAGGCATTAAAGCTCAGGGACATTGGTGTAAATGTCCAAATGGTCACATTTATTGTGTTACAGAATGTGGAGGGCCAATGCAGAAGTCAATTTGTCCTGAATGCAAAGTAGAAATTGGGGGAGACAGTCATCGACATGTTTCAGGGATTACCGTAGCATCAGAGATGGATGGCGCTAGAAACCTTCAGTTTCAGTAATAGCTAKTTATTACTCAAATAATTGACTTTTTCATTTTATTTCATAAATAAATTTAACGATAAAATTTTCATGTTTATTCTTTCAATATTATATAAAGTTTGTTTTTGATATTATTTTATTGAAGTTTATAAAAATATTTACAAGTATAACACTTATTATTAAATGTATTAATTAACTAATAAGTTAATGATTAATTAACATATTATACCTAAGTAATAACTATTTGAATTCATAATATTACTTTTAATAACTGATAATTWAGAGTTATGTTATTATAGAAGATTAATATGAAAAACATTATTAACATTTGAATTATATTTAGTATTTACTTTTATAAACTTTTAATTTTTATATAAAATTGATGCAAATTATAACTTGTCTTATCAATTCAATGTATACATTTATTTGCGTGTTTAACTTTTCAGTGTGAATTAATTTTCTACTAGTGAAAAAATCCTTTATATGAGGATTTATATGTTTGTATAATTTGTTTATTAACAATTTTGTTAACTAAGATAAAAATCAATAAAATGAAATTTAACCATAATGTGAATTTGCATTGATTATCAATTGGTTACACATCGGGATCATAATTATACTCACTAGAAATGTGTAGAAAATGTTGAAAAAATTAAAATATGCACCCGAGTATAAATATTAAAAATCATTAATGATTAATGATTAATGAATAATTTTTACTTTAAAATCATTTTAACAGTATTTTTTAAAAGTTAGGGTTTTTTTTCTATAATCTATTCAATAAATAACCTGASAGAGTGAGGGTATATTTTATAATGGGAGAGAAGGCAAGTGCAGGAATCAACTAGTTTTCTGAGTTCTATATTTTGAAACGATACTACATTGGTTCAATTAGAGATTTATTGATGAGCTCTTTAGATCATAGTGTGTTTATTATTAGAAGATATTTAGTTATAACTAAAGACCGGATTTAATTGATATTACAACTTTTTTTGCATTTAAGATAAATCAAATCTGATCAAATATGCACACAATTTTTATTAATTGCAGTCTTTCTATTTCATTTTATGTTGCAATTTTTTATATTTTACATTATTAAATGTACCAATCAATATTTCTTAACTAATTATATAATATAAAAATAATAAAATTATTGTAGATTGTCATTATTGGTTAGATTATTTAATTATAAAGGTGTAATATAAGTATAGATATACGTGGCGATATGGACTTCTATAGGTCATTAATAATATCGATAACAATAGTTTATTATCCGTTACGATTACAGTTTTTAAAATAGTCTGTATATTGAAAAAGACAATTATTAAATTGTTAGTATCAGTTGCTTTCGTGCATTTAAGAAAATAAATAATAGTTATACATTTTGTAATATTTTAAGAATACATTTTATGTAGCAATTAGATAATTTTATTATGCAATTATTGTATTATTTTCATTGCAATTTTGGCATATTTTTAGTGCAACTAAATCCGGTCTTTAGTTAAAACTTATATTGACCCAAATAGTTGAATAATGGGCATGGATGATYAAAAAACAATACATCCAGTTTGGAGTGCTTTTTCATTTATAATATTTGTATGCATACACAAAAATAAGGTAGGAAATTAGTAAAAATATTTTTCATTTATTTAATTCAATTGTAATTTATAATTAATGTAAAAATTTAATTTTTTTCACAGAATTGTTTTTTTTTAAGACTTTTTTTATTCCATTCATAACGTAACTTTGTCCATATACCACAACACATTTTAATGAGTCGCTCATCAACAACTAATTGAGATTTGATAAACAAATATTGAYTCTGAACAATGAATTTAGCTTGTTTATAAAAACCTCGTTGCATGAGACTAATAGCAGCATACAGTTTACACCGGGCTGCAGTTAAAGGATCACCAATCCGCATTGCAATTCTTAATTGTTGCAGCGAAATATTCCCTGCTACAATTGCCTAAAAGTAAATAAAATATTTTAAATTATTAAAACATTTTTATTTGCATAATATTATTTTAGATCCATGTAGCAGTCAAAAAATAAATAAATAAATAAGTAGAAAGGAAGCATAGTATCAAAAATTATGAATTAAGTAGAGGAGGAAAATTAAAACTGTACATACACAGTGTTCAKTCTGATCACCCAATGATGAAAAAGCTCCACCGAGAGTTGATAACCAAGCCATAATGTTTTCAAGCTCTCTGTATTCAGTATCAGTTTTTTCATACAGTTCACACCTGAAATTATATGTTTGATGAAAATAACAGTTTATGATTTTCTTAAGCCATAATCAGACAAATACAGTAGATAATAATTACTATATATTACAAAGTAAAAATAGAGTAGTATTAWRTACTAATGTACTATAAACATTATTTTTTATTTATTAACAATCATTCAAATTCTAGTTGAAAAAAAGGTTTTAAATATTTTTTTCAAATGTTTTGCACAGTTGCCAGCTTACCATGTGTAAGGCAGTCTATATTTGTCTGGTGTCACCAGCCGAACATCGTTGAAGCCGACCACAATATTGTTATTGTCCACTGATGCGACACTACTCATCCGCCTCACAATCGACCGCTTGAGTGTATAGCTGTTCTCCAGCGCCTTGATGAYGCACTCCAGACAATTGGCATCCATTACCGTGGGCATGGGGTCCCTGGCGCCATTAAGGCCTAGAGAACACAGTTCGGCCGACACGCTAAACGGAAGCTGGTCAACGGTTGTGTACAGCACATATTGCCGGTTGAGTTTCACTATCAGCACGCAGTCCCACAGTTCATCGTCAACGAATACCCGGAGGCAACACACTCGCATTTTGGATGTGACGAGAAGCGTTGAAAGCTGAAACGATGTACGATGGACATTATTTCACTTATAGCAGAGGGTAATTATAAAAATAACAGTGTCGAATTCGAATGCTCAATAATATTACGTTTTATAATGTAAAATATTATTATCATCAATCTCTCGCGCGCTTCATTCGTGTTTTTACTGATAAACTGATAATATTATCAGTACCGTTATCAACGTGTCGGTTATCATCTTATAGCGTTTTTTTTTTCTTTTTTTTCCACCATACCGCACTATTGCACCACGACTGTTCTATGATTGCACCAAGGTGGCATTGGTACAGTTCCCTGGTAATTGTCCTAGTGCGGGCTTGTACTTGTCTAGACGAAGCATTAAATCTATTTTTTTAAATACTTGTCACTGATATATAAAGATAATACTACTGGCGTAGTGCGTGCATTGAGGTGAAACATAAAAAGTCCACTCAGTGCACATTAATCCTGCCGATGGAACTATATTGTTAATAGGTCTATGGATGGAACATAAAAATATGCACTAGCACTGGTGCAGCCAGTACTCAGTGGAGTGTGATGGAAAACGCTATAAGATAATATTATCTCGGCACGATGGCAGCAGAGGAGTTGTATTGTGCAAACAGATCCTCCTCTGCTGTCGGTTCTAACCAGGGAAAAAAATATTATCTTGGTTCATGGCGCAGTTATTTTTATTTTTTATAATAAATGTACAATCCATATTATGATTCAATCTATATATAGGTACTAATCAAAGCAAAATAAGTATAATGGTAAAAGGGGCAAACATCGTGATTTACGTTACACACTACTCCAGATGACTCTTTGCTTGAGGATGGCACATACTGTGCCGCACAGTTATAAACTATAAACTAAGGCTGGGCAAATTAATGATTTTTTTTAACTCAGTTAATTTAAGTTAATATGCACCAATAACAAAAAGTTAAAAGTTAATTTAATTATAGATTGACTCAGTTAAGTTACGAGTTAATACCAATTTTTTTAAAACTTTTTATTAAGTTATAAAAAAGTTATTTTTTTTATACAAAACTAAATTACAGATTAGTGTTTATACTTTATACAGTATTTCCGTATAGTATATTGTATTTTTAAGAACAGTAGTTAGCTTATATAATAAGTAGTAATAATAAATTAATAAATTAATATAATTATTAATTTAATGACATAAAAGATAAAACCTTTTATTGTAAAACTAAAAATATATATGGTGTTACTTTTCAAATTAGAATACAGAATGGTCCAAAAAATATAACATTTTTAACTTGAAACAATTCATGAAAAATATTTTTTTGACATGATGACAACATACCTAATCAAAATAGACTAATAATGAAATGTAAAAAAGCGGGCAATTCGTGGATGTCGCTCTGCTGTACAGTAGGTTACTGTAATGGATGGGATTAAATTTGAATGCAATGATAGGTATCATTGTATACGAAAAACGATTCTAAACGGAGATGATTTGTCAGTCTAGGATATATTATATTTAAATATTGTCA